AATGGTAGTAGCATTTTCGAATAGAATCGAAATGTCATGTCCCGTGGAATTCGAGAACCATTTTCCATTTCCTCCCGCATTTCCCCCAGGACGTGCGGGTTTCGAAAATGCATTTTATGGGAAAATGGCGTGTCTGACAATTAGAAAATAGTGAAAACAAAACTTTCAACTTGTTAGTTGGATCCTTTTTTGTCTTATTTATTACACTTTTGGTTCGGGTATGTCGGGTGAGGGTGGAAAACGTTGAGGGCCATAAGGTTGTTTCGGAGTCCGTGGGAGAATGATGGGGAGAAAGAGAGAAGAGGAGAATGGTAGGGAGGCAGGGGAAAAAGGAAAGGAAAGGAAAGGGCTTTGTGTTCGTTCATGAGGGCGAACTGCAGGAATCTTTGTAATGTTTGTCTCTAAAGCTTTTGTAGGAAACGAGCCAAAATGGTTGGATTTTATTTCGTTTATGTGAACCTTTAAGGATTTTTCCTTTTTTTTCCTTTTTTTCTTTGTTTTTACGACGCGTCGTTAATAATAAACCGTCGTAACTGATGATGCTGAATCGTCCGTCGATAAATACAAAAAAAATATTGAATGTTTGTAATATTTTTAGTTTTTCTCCGAAAGAAAAATGGTATAATTAGTTGCCATAGGTACTGGAGACATGACAAGTCCAGAAGAGGTCAAAACGGAAAAAAGGTTTTAAATAAAAAAAAAAAAAAAAAATCACCGAATGTTTCAGACGTTGCCACGCAAAAAAAAATTTTAATAAAAAAATTTTAAATTTCTTTTTAGAATGAGAGAGAGAGAGAGAGTGAGAGAGAATAATTATTTTGTTTTTTTTGTTCTTATTAATTTTTAGTCGGTATCATATCAATTTTTTGAGGGAAAAAAAACGAGAGAAAGAGAGAGAGAGAGAGAAAAAAAATTAATAAATTTATATTAACTTATATTTAATATATCAAAATGACAGAAAAAACAAAAACGAGAGAGAGAGAGAGAGACAGAAAAGGGAAAAAGGTTGCCCTTGGTTTTTTCTTTCTTTCTTTCTTTCTCTCTGAAAAAGTATTGTATTTTAATTATAATTGTTAGTTACATCATTTTGGAATTGAGAGAGAGAGAGAGATTCATCCCTGTCATGGCCCCTGTCCCAGTTGAGTTGGCAACCCTCACATCCCTTCTCAAAACCTTCTCTTCTTTCTCATTTGACACTAACACCACCCGAAACTAAAATTTTATCTTCTTGTTAAACAAACCGTGTTCTTTTTTCTTTTTTTTTTTGGGGGGGGAGGAGGGGGGATTTCAAAAGATAGATTTCTAAAAAGAAAGACAAAATGGATGGAAAAGAAAAAGAAAAAAAACTGGAAAAGGAAAATTTTAAATGGAAGATTTTTACGTTGACTAATTATGTTATTATTTAAGAAAACTTTCAATTTTTTTCATCGTTATTCGGTACCTGGTACCTCGAGTAGTATTAGTAGTAGTAGTAGTAGTCAACGATATAGTCTAGTGCCACGTCGAATATATACACAAAAAGAAAAAGGAAAAAAGGGAAAAAATGTTACAACGTTTTGTGAATTTTCTTATTTTTCCCCTGGCTGACGTTTTCAGACATTAAATTTATCATCATCATTATTATCATCATCATCCGAACGTGTCCGATGGAGATGTCGGCGTCACCCAAAAATGTCGCTTTTCCCCACCGAGTTTCGTTCGGTCTGAACGAAAATCGATGCCTTGAAAAACCGAGAAAGGAAAAAAAAAAAACAAAAAAAAAAAAAAAGTTTTTTTCGTGAGTTTGCGCAACCCCCCCCTTCTCCCCTTTCCCCTCCCCTCCCGTTCGAAGGACTTTTGCTAACACATTTCATTTTAATTTGGTCATTTATATCGAGAGACGGAAAAAAAGAAAATAATAATAATAATAATAATAATTTTTTCAAAGATGATTTGACGAAAAAGAAAAATTCAAATCGATATATATATCGATCGATTTCGAGTTAAAAATAATCAATAAAAAGAGAAAGAGAGAGAGACAGAGATAGAGAGAGGGTGGGAGGAAGAGAGAGAGAGAGGAATTTAAAAATGGCTGACAGAAGAAGAAGAAGAATTTTCTCTTATTTTTTGAGCCTCCTTTTAAACGGATACAGTTTTAGAAGAAGAATACTCAATGAAAAATATAAAAAGCAGAATGAAAAAGTAATAATAATGATGATGATGATGATGATGATGATGATGATGATGACGTCGACGACGACGGTTATAATAACAATAAAAAAAAAAAAAAATACACACACAACTGGACGACGTTTGTAAATAAATATTTTACAACTTTGTTTTGGCGTTGAAAAAAAAAAAAAATCGTAGATCGTAAATCAAACGTAAAAAAAAAAAAAAAAAATGAAAGAAAAAAATCATAAATGAAAATGGAAAAAGGCGGGAAAATTTTACACTGGAATTTTTTATATAAAAAAAAAAAAAAAAATGTGTGTGTAAAAAAAAAAAGAGTAAAAATGAAAAAGAAATGGAAAGGGGAGCAGGCAGGGGAGAGAGAGAGAGAGAAATAAATAAAAAAAAAAAGGTAAATAAAAAAAAGAGGGAGAGGGAAGAGGGGAAGAGAGTGAGAGAGAGAGAACAAAAAAAAATGCAACTGCAAAATAATGGACCATAAAATGAAAAAGAAAAAAAAAAGAGAGAGAGAGAGAAAATACAACGCAATGAGTTAATCAAGTTAAAAAAAAAAAATAACAATAAAGAAATTTTCTTTTTTTTCTCCAGTTTTTTTTTTTCCAGTTCATCCTCAAAGAGAGAAAAAAAATTTTTTTTTTTTTTTTTTTTATTAAACTTTTTTATTTTATTTTTTTGTATTTTATTTATTTTAAACGACTTTTATTATTATTATTATTTTATATTAACCCAAAATTTAATCTTTTTTTTATACTTTTGGTTAAAAGTTTTTTTTTCTCTCTCTCTCCCCCTCCCTCTACCCTGTCTCCCTTTCCCTCCTCAATAAATAAATCATCGTTTTACATTTTTTTTTTTTTCCTTTTTTTTTCTTTTTTTTTTTTATATTTTTTTTATTTTTATTATTTCCCCCTCTCTCTCACCTCATCGCCATTTTTTTTCCTTTTTTTCCTTTTTTTTCCTTTTTCCTTTTTTTTTTTTTTTAATGGAAAGTTATGAATGGAGTGCGAATGGGATTTTTTTTTTTTTTTACAACTACGATTGTTTATTAATTTTTTTTCTCTTTTTTTTTATCAATGAAATTTTTTTTTTGTTTGTTTTTGTAGTAAATTGCATGCGTGCGTGCATGCATGCGTTCGTGTGCGTATTTGTTTACAATTTGAAAAGGATTTAATTTATTAATAAATATTTTTTGCGTTTCTCTCTCTTCTCTCTCTCTCTCTAATAGTTTTACTATTTAAATAAAATAGGGGAGGAGGGTGTAAATAAATTGTATAGGGTTGTTTTTCCTAAAGGGAAACAAACAAATAATATACATATTATTATTTTATGAATGCAATGAAAGAAAGAAAATTTATGAATGAGTTATTATATTATATATAAAACATTACGAGATGATGGGGGGAGAGGAGGGGAGAATGAGAGAAGGAGGAGAGTCTTTAAATGTGAAGGGGTTAAAAGGGAAAAAGAAAATTTTAATAGGAAAACTTATTACAATAAAAAATAGTGACCCAGTGAGTGAGAGAATTTCACGAAAGATTTTCTTTTAAAGGAAAAACCGAGGGGAGGGGAGGCGGGGGGCGGGACTGTTGTTTTTCTCATCTTAAATGGTTGTTGAGTTAATGAACTTGAAAACAAGAAATTTTAAACTTGTGTATTTAGTTAAAACTTGTCTTCGTTATATTTAAAAAAAAAAAAATAGTTTTATCACTTTATTAATATTATTATTATTGAATTTCAAATTTTTTTTTTTTGGAGAGGGGAGGGGGTTGAAATTTTTCAAAGGCACACACATGGCACGGTTAGCTAAGGGTAACAATATATATATATATATATATATATATAAAATGTTAAGAGGGAGCGGCGGCTGCGGCGGTGGCGGCGGCGGCGGCAGCTTATTGATTCCTGATTAGTGCTCAAGTAAAAATATCAAAGCTCATTCTCTGGGAAAAAGAGATGGGATCTTTTACCAGCAGCATCCATCCCTTCTCCGATGTTTTCTTCTTCCCCCCGCCTCCCTTATTACCTCTCCTCCTCTCCTCTCTCTCCTACTTTTTCTTTTTCTCTTCTTTTACTCTCTCTGTCTCCTCTCTACGTGTCTCTCTCGCTCTTTTTCGGATCCCCTCCAAACATCGTATGTTCCTAGCAGGCGCAATTAACAAGCCCCCTCCCCTTCTCCCTTCTTCCCTCTTAAGCTCTATTTAACGATTGGCATACTGTGTGACGTTGGGGTGTCTCACATTAAGGGTGTTTTGAAAAAATTTTCTTTTTCCTTTCTTTCTTTCTTTCTTTCTTTTTCTTTCTATTAAATAAAAATTGATTTCGGTTTTTTTTTTTTTATATGTACATAGCTTTAAGAGATAGTTTTAGGATAAAAACGTTTTGACCGGCGGTTCTTTCGTACTAAAGAAAAGAGAAAGAGAGAGAGAAAAAAAAAGAAAGTAATTTAATAAATGTTGTTTCTCTCGTTTTATTCAATTTCCTTTTCCTTTCCTTTTTTTTTCCTTTTTTTTTAAACTTCCTTCGAGTTCTTTTCGGTTGTCTCAAAGTGAGGCATAAATCTTAATAAATAATTCAACGTATACATTAATTAATGCCAAAAACTTTTTAATTGGAATTATAATAATTTATCGTAAAAATGTATTTATTATATGCAAAATGACGTAAATAAAAAAAATCATTATCATTATCATTATTATTTTTTAAATAATTAAGTCGAAACGCTTTAAAGTGAATATCGACGAGCCCTCCCCCCCCCCGCGTACCCATTTTAAAATTTTTAATAGTTTTTTTATAATTTTACTTTTAGGCATGCATTTTCGGAAGGCGGCTCCATGAAACAGGAAGCAACAAACGATGATGGGTATGAAAATAGTGTTAATCATTTTGATATGAGAGCACATGGTCAAAATGAGCAGGGAGGAAAAGTAAATCAGAACATGATGGACCAACATATACCTACTGCGCCACAAGTAAGTCGTAATGCACTTGTTAAACGCAAATTTTTTCTCCAAAGTATTTTACTAGGGGAAAAAAAAAATGAATTTCAGATTCAACAAATGCACCATGCACAGCAACAACAACAACAACAACAACAGCAACAGCATCACCACCACCAGGGCGTTGCATTAGATCATAGGCTTCAGATGAGGCGCCCTTTGGAAAATCATTTAGGACAAGAAAATGTTAGAATCAATTCCGTGGATTCATCACACATTGACAATCGATTGAGCGATGTTCATTCGACTCATGATCCCGGAATGAATCATCATCAGGTCGAACGGGAAAACAGAATTAATTCACTCGAGGGACGATTAAATGGAAGTGAAAGTAATCGCGGACACGAGAATCATCTTACCTCGATCGAAACTAGATTAGTTGAACATGATAATTCTGTTAACAGTATTGAAAGCACAATAAACGGCATTAGTGGCGGAGGAATACAAAATAACGAAAATTCTTTAGGTAATCACGAGAGTAGACTTTTAAATCAGGAAAGTCAAATATCTAGAGTTGAAAATCGATTAGATTCTATAGAAAATCATAGAAATCCTATGGAAGCTCAAATGGGACACGATAGTCAGATGAGCGATAATGAAAGCGGAGTTGTAGGAAGCCACGAATCCAGAATCGGAAGTCAACAAGAAAGTCAAATGACGAGAATCGAGAATAGAGTAAGACACGAGAATCATTTGAGCAACATAGAAAGTAGAATAATGGCTCAAAGCAGTCATCATTTGGCGGCGTTGGAAAATAGGCTGGGACACGAGAATCATTTGAACAGTTTAGAGAAAAGAATAAGCAACCGGGAAACGAATCATTTAAACGAACTCGAAAGCAGAATGAACGGTCACGAAAACTGCATCAACGGATTAGAAGGTCGATTGAACTCTCACGATGGACACTTGGGTACTTTGGACGGTAGAATGCTCGCTCACGAAAATCGCTTGCTGGAAAGTAGAATGGAAAGTCGTGACAATCATTTGAGCAGTTTAGGAGTTCACGATAGTCATTTGAACGGATTAGAAAACAGGTTGAGCCTAAGGGAAAATCACATTAGTCATCAAGACTCGAGAATGAGCGGACACGGTCACGGACACGGTTTGACGGGAATGGATGCGAGAGACAGCATTCTCAACGCTCATGCCAATCACATGGGTCTTCACATGAGTCACCCCGGACCCCTCGATCACCTTCAACCGCATCCTCATTTGCAAAGCCTTCATCACCCGCATCATCCTCACTTGCATCACATGCACCATCCTCATCATAGTCATTCACACGTGAAATGTGATTCAATGGAAGATCCGTATAGTTTCGTAGAAGATGATCCTACGGGCATGGGTGGCGCGTCGCACGTGACTCCTCAGCCCAGACCGTCGCCTATCATGCTTCAAGCTATTCCTAAAAAAAGAGGAAGAAAAAAGAAAATCAAACCGGAAAACGAGTAAGTTTTCATTATTGTAAAACCAAAAAAAAGTTTTATTTAAAATTAGCAAATATCAACAGAGACTCGAACAAAGAGAATTTAAATTTTCTAGAAATTTCCGTGTCTCTAATAACTAATCCCACGATTTAGTTCACGCCTCATTAAAATTTTACTTTTTTTTTTTTTTATCTAAAATAAATTTTAGGTTGGGTGATACGGTGGAGCTTTTAAAAAAGGAAAATGGATTGATGAAGTCGGCGGCGGCAAAAGAGAGGAAAAAACACGACAGATTTAATGGAATGCCAGAGGAGGAGGTTGTTAAAAGGACGCTCCCGGACCACTTAACTACGAACCTCGACATTGTTATTGTAAGTCCGTTTTCGTGTTCTTGTCTGCAAACATGAGGAATCCATCGGATTTCCCAAAAGCGCATTTTCATTAGCGATTATTTTCCACGCAATTTCTCTTTCTCAAACCTTTTCACCTGAAAATCGTGTTTTATCTCTCTCTCTCTCTCTCTCTCTTTCTCTCTCTCTCTCTCTCTCTCTCTCTCTCTCTCAAAATATTTCTTAAATAATGCAGTGTTGTCGTTTCGTGTGATGATTTCTCACTTGAAATCCCCCCCCCGCCATTTTTTCCCATTCAAAAACGATTTCATAACACCTCAAGTAGTTTTTCCATCAAAGGTGAAAATTATAATTTTATTTCTATCTCTTTCTCTCTCTTTCTTTCTCTCTCTTTCTTTCTCTCTCTTTCTTTCTCTTTCTTTCTCTCTCTTTCTTTCTCTCTCTTTCGATAAGTTAATTTAATTTTTTTTATTTCATTTCCTCATTTGAAGACCAACATTTTTTTTTTTTTTTTTAAACTTTTATTGATGAAAAAGGATAAAAAAAAAAGGAAAAAAAAGGAAGAGGAAATGACCCTTTTCAATAATAGTAAAACTTTACATAATATGTAAATATAAC